AGGACGTTGTCGCCGACGTCTAGAAAACCTTGTGTGTGCTCATGGTAAATACAAGCAATATAAAGGATTATTTGATCAGTGTCAACTAAATATTTGCCTCGATCAAATTGCTTCAACCACTGTCTGTGATCGATAGTTTCATTTATTTGGAAGTTACTTACTTTTTATAGATAAAGCAATAGACATGATACACAGAAAATTCATTTTCCAAGCGCCTATCTTTGGGATTATTTTCAGGTTTAAATATTTAAACATAAATAAAAAAAGCGCAAATTAACCGCGCAGGCAGGTACCACATTCTCTGATATGCGGCGTAATAGCTTTGATTGCCCTAGAAAAGATCGCTAATTGGATGCCACTCAAATGGTAAACAAAATGTCAAGTTTCAATCGCGTTACGATTTGGATTAGGAATTGATTAGGACATGATATTGTATTTGTTTTCTTTTGAAAGAACTTTGTACAGTTGTCTCTACTATTAAAGTAAAGCTTTCTTAACATTCAGTATTTGAAGATTATTTCTTACTGCGGTCAGTGAGGTCCATTTTGTAATTCATATCTTTGATGACGCTTGCGATCATTATCGCTCCCTGAAATTCAAGAGCACGGTCCTAAGAGTAAGACAACAAGGCGGTACTTGTAGCTGAATCTTCGGAACCATGGCGCTACTGCGACCCAATTCGAAGATCAGCTGATTTCTCGTTTTCGGATCGATGAATTAGCCGACTAGATAGTGTTATTTTGACACTCTAGACTTTTTTCCTTTGGGACTATGCTTACATGCTTTGTACGAGTACGGAAAAAAAACAAATCATCAAATACCGCTAGAAATACAGGAACGCGTCGTTTAAAATCGTAATTCTAAATTAGACCAACAAGAGATAAACATTGGAAAAAACATTTTCAAGGTTGCTTCTTTGGTTTGACAATGAAGGCATAAAGGATTTGTTGTATTTTTTATACTTTTGAAGCTTTTATTTGACATAAGATTTTAGCAAAATGTAAGATAGTAAAGGCAACATCGCACCCTGGAGCCCAGTTGATCAAGCTGTCAAGATTAGGGATGTTTAGATCCACGAAAAGTATCGATATGTATCGATTTTTATCGTTCTAGGAAGTATCGATAGTCTAAAATATTGGAATAAAATTATCGATATCCAGCGGAAGGAAACAAAGAAGAAAAGTAATGTAATCTGAAGTTAGTCACTCTTTCTGACACAGTCCGGATTGAAAGATGACGATACTCGTGAAATGTATCGATACACCCAAGTGTCGTATATAAAAATATCGATCCAAAATATTGGGTATGGAATCACAATTAATTTCTTAATATTCAATAAGCTGGCGATCTTTCAATGACAAGCCGTTATCTCATACTTTGGCAGTATTTTGTTTTCAACATTTCATAGCTATTGGTTGCTAAAATTTGTTGATTGGAACTTGAAGCTCATTCGCTGTATTTGACGGACTGTTACCCTGTAGGTGAAGGTGTCTACAACTTATAAATATATGTATACTAAGTGACATATAAATCCGAACATCCAGTTTAAATGGTTTTATTTAATAAAATTTTGTATAAGTACTTAATGAAGCATAATAAGTAAATGATAAAAATTTCCAAATGATTGCACTGCTTTAAAGCCCTTTGACCTTTAATAATGTATGGATGCACCCTGATGTGCTACGCATTCTCCAACGCGCCTAGGCATGCTTCTGATCAGGTGGTCAATGTCCTCCTGTGGTATCTCATTCCAGGCAACCACCAACTCCTCTCGAAGTGCTTCTAGAGTCTGAGGAGGACGTTGCAAATTGAGCAATCTGCTACCCATCATATCCCACACGTGCTCAATTGGGGATAAGTCGGGAGATCTTGGTGGCCATGGTAACAATGTGACATCATTATGTTGAAAGATAGGGTAAAAGATGGGGTTCTAGAACTTCGTGGATATAACGCTGCGCGTTCATGTTACCTCTGATGAAGATTAAAGGTGACCTGGAACCATAAGCTATAGCACCCCAAACCATAACTCCAACAGTGTGATGAACATGTCTTTCAACAAAAAACTGTGGATTCCTCCTTTCACCACGTCGCCTTCTAACCCTGGCACGACCATCGTGCATGCCTAAACAAAATCGAGACTCGTCACTAAAGACAATACTGTTCCATTCCTGATCCCAGAGTGACCGTTGTCTGCACCACTCAAGGCGATTACGTCGGTGTAAGGGTTAGAAGGCGACGTGGTGGAAGGAGGAATCCACAGTTTTTTGTTGAAAGACATGTTCATCACACTGTTGGAGTTATGGTTTGGGGTGCTATAGCTTATGGTTCCAGGTCACCTTTAATCTTCATCAGAGGTAACATGAACGCGCAGCGTTATATCCACGAAGTTCTAGAACCCCATCTTTTACCCTATCTTGACACCCTGGCAGATCCAACTTTCCAACAAGATAATGCCCGACCACATGTTGCAAGAGTCACAATAGACTTCTTTCAACATAATGATGTCACATTGTTACCATGGCCACCAAGATCTCCCGACTTATCCCCAATTGAGCACGTGTGGGTATGATGGGTAGGAGATTGCTCAATTTGCAACGTCCTCCTCAGACTCTAGAAGCACTTCGAGAGGAGTTGGTGGTTGCCTGGAATGAGATACCACAGGAGGACATTGACCACCTGATCAGAAGCATGCCTAGGCGCGTTGGAGAATGCGTAGCACATCAGGGTGCATCCACACATTATCAAAGGTCAAGCGCTTTAAAGCAGTGCAATCATTTTGAAATTTTTATCATTTACTTATTATGCTTCATTAAGTACTTATACAAAATTTTATTAAAATAAAACCATTTAAACTGGGTGTTCGGATTTATATGTCACTTAGTATACAATGTCACTGAATAAATCAGTCTGTACTTTTCCTGAAGCAAGTTCATACTTCTACACACTCTCATTCTTTTTCAGTTGAATCTCGCAGCTCTGATACCGCACCAGAAATACACCATTCAACCGCTTCCCGAGACAGAGCCTGACGAAAAATCTACATGACAATCATCGCGGTTTTGGGCCTTCAACAAAGTTGTGATCAAACCTTCCATTTGTATACACCACCGACGAACTTCTAACATTAGGACAACACATTCACCCAACAGCACATTGATCAGCCGGTTGTGAGGAAATCGGATATCAGGATCGGCATGCCTTGCATCTGCCGGTATTCTGAAGACGGAATTTGGTACAGGGCGGAGATCTTCAATATCGAAGGTCTGGACTGCGGTTACGTTTTCGTGTTTTTCGTCGATTTCGGCAACGTTGAATCCGTCACGGTGGACAACATCAGAGAAATGAGGAAAGAATGGTTCGATCAACCGGTGTCTTCGCATGTCGCGGAGCTGGCAATCGAACTGAAAACTGGGAACCACATGGAACATGTGTTCCAACAGATTAAACAACTTTACGAGGAGGAGAAGTTAGTTTAAAGTGCTGCAAAGGGAGCCGTTGCGGGTGCATCTGTACGAGGAAAACGGGGAGTTGTGTTACAATTCCATGGTGAAACGAGGGTTATTGACTGTTCGTGACGCGTAGAACAGGCTTTTTGTTTTTGATTGCTCAAAAGTATTAACGTTATGTTTCTTCATAAGAAAAAGATTTATGTTCCGATATCTTTTAAAAGGATGTTATTGAGTATAATACGTATCAATAAAACCTTTGATTTAGTTTTGTGTTTCATTGTATCGTAGTTTGCAACACCTATTTTTGACAAGGAGAGAGAAAGTGGAGGTATGACCAAAAATTCTGACACCTGACAAAGAAAATTCGCCTTTAGTCTCTGGAACGTGTGCAGCACGTTTTTCACAACCTGACAAATTTGGTGTGAAGTGCTTTTAAATGTAGTCAAAAACGCATAAACAATGCTAAAATTCTTAGTTGTGCTACTATGCGATAGATGGCGCTTTCAAACCATCCTATCAAACGCTCCACAAAATTTAACTAGTCTAAAAGAATCTTAAGGGGTGGTAGGTCGGGGTTTGGGTGGCTCGATTTTTGCACATTCCTCAAGATCAACAACTTAAATGGTCGTGAGGTGGGTTGAAAATCCCCCATTTTTTGATGAAAAATAAGATTATTTTGTTTGAATTAGCATATTATGCAGCAATATTACGCATCTGTTAAAAAACAAAGCACCCTCCCCCTTCCTTAAGCGAGATTTACTGAATAAAATTCAGCGGCTCCCGGTAGTCATTCAAAATGATGAGCCTTGTGATGGTTGCCATCAAGCAACGCCATCTATCGGGTAGTAGCTGAATAAAAAATATGTTCATACTTGTAGTTTTCTTGAACGATTTTGTATCAATTTTTGTCATTTTGCGACCAAAATTCAACTTCATTGAACGTGAACCTACTAAATTGTTTTTGTTTTTGATTGATCAAAAGTATTAACGTTATGTTTCTTCATAAGAAAAGATTTATGTTCCGATATCTTTTAAAAGGATGTTATTGAGTATAATACGTATCAATAAAACCTTTGATTTAGTTTTGTGTTTCATTGTATCGTAGTTTGCAACAACCTATTTTTGACAAGGAGAGAGAAAGTGGAGGTATGACCAAAAATTCTGACACCTGACAAAGAAAATTCGCCTTTAGTCTCTGGAACGTGTGCAGCACGTTTTTCACAACCTGACAAATTTGGTGTGAAGTGCTTTTAAATGTAGTCAAAAACGCATAAACAATGCTAAAATTCTTAGTTGTGCTACTATGCGATAGATGGCGCTTTCAAACCATCCTATCAAACGCTCCACAAAATTTAACTAGTCTAAAGAATCTTAAGGGGTGGTAGGTCGGGGTTTGGGTGGCTCGATTTTTGCACATTCCTCAAGATCAACAAACTTAAATGGTCGTGAGGTGGGTTGAAAATCCCCCATTTTTTGATGAAAAATAAGATTATTTTGTTTGAATTAGCATATTATGCAGCAATATTACGCATCTGTTAAAAACAAAGCACCCTCCCCCTTCCTTAAGCGAGATTTACTGAATAAAATTCAGCGGCTCCCGGTAGTCATTCAAAATGATGAGCCTTGTGATGGTTGCCATCAAGCAACGCCATCTATCGGGTAGTAGCTGAATAAAAAATATGTTCATACTTGTAGTTTTCTTGAACGATTTTGTATCAATTTTTGTCATTTTGCGACCAAAATTCAACTTCATTGAACGTGAAACTACTAATTGTTTTGTTTTTGATTGATCAAAAGTATTAACGTTATGTTTCTTCATAAGAAAAAGATTTATGTTCCGATATCTTTTAAAAGGATGTTATTGAGTATAATACGTATCAATAAAACCTTTGATTTAGTTTTGTGCCTCATTGTATCGTAGTTTGCAACAACCCCCTATTTTGACAACGAGAGAGAAAGTGGAGGTATGACCAAAAATTCTGACAGCTGACAAAGAAAATTCGCCTTTAGTCTCTGGAGCGTGTGCAGCACGTTTTTCACAACCTGACAAATTTGGTGTGAAGTGCTTTTAAATGTAGTAAAAAATGCATAAAAAATGATAAAATCTTAGTTGTGCTACTTTGCAATAGATGGCGCTTTCAAAGCATCCTATCACACACTCCACAAAATTTAACTAGTCTAAACGAATCTTAAGGGGTGGTTGGTCGGGGTTTGGGTGGCTCGATTTTTTGCACGTTCCTCAAGATCAACAAACTTAAATTGTCGTGAGGTGGGTTGAAAATCCCCCATTTTTTGATGAAAAATAAGATTATTTTGTTTGAATTAGTCTATTATGCAGCAATATTACGCATTTGTTAAAAACAAAGCACCCTCCCCCTTCCTTAAGCGAGATTTACTGAATAAAATTCAGCGGCTCCCGGTAGTCATTCAAATGATGAGCCTTGTGATGGTTGCCATCAAGCAACGCCATCTATCGAGGAGTAGCTGAATAAAAAATATGTTCATACTTGTAGTTTTCTTGAACGATTTTGTATCAATTTTTGTCATTTTAAGAGGAAAATTCCATTTACACATGCTTCAATAATAAAAACAGTCGAATGGCATTTTGTTTAAAGATAAGATTCTTTGATGACAGCAATATTATCCATTGCCATCAGTTTGTTGAAAAACAAAGCACCCTCCTACATAAAGCGAGATTTACTGAATACAATTCATCGGCTGCCGGTAGTCATTCAAAATGATGAGCCTTGTGATGGTTGCCATCAAGCAACGCCATCTATCGGGGAGTAGCTGAATAAAAAATATGTTCATACTTGTAGTTTTCTTGAACGATTTCGAATCAAATTCTCTCATTTTACGACGAAAATTCAACTTCATTGAACGTGAAACTACTAAATTGTTGTGCTCAAAAATCTCCCTAAATTTTATTCGCTCGTTGCGCCATCCATTAGAGAGTAGCGGAACTAAAGTAATGTAGGAATATGTGCGTGACGTGTAAATAGAAATACGGATCTGTTTATTGAACGTAATTGTTGAGGAATTACCGTATCCTGGTTTTGGTGAAAGAAAATTCGTTCATAGGAGTAGCCACACTGTGACAGCAACAATTGCAAACTGTCATCAGAGAGCTACCCTCATTTCCGAATTTTTCCGTTGCGCTGTTTCGTGATAAGCGCAAGTTCTTCACGGATTCATACTTACTTGTGACGATGACGAACTCTCCAAATACAGCCAGGCCCATACAGGGTGTCCGCAAAGTTGGGGTTTTCCTTTTCAGAAACAACTACCCTTGAAATAACAAAGGTAATGTGTAGTGAACGAGGGCGACCAAGTAAAAAAAATAAAGGAAAAAGTACTCACTTTCCAGTTGACGAGAAGGGCTAAGTACGTCTCTGCCCGAAATCATACCGCTCCAATAGAAAATGAAATCAGCTGATGCGGTACCGAGCAGACGCAGCCAAACAAGGAAGGCAAAATGTTGCGTAAAAAGTCTAGGTCTAAGGTTCACGATGCCAGCCCAAACATTCACCGAAAATGTTGAAAATGTGCCCGACGGACAGCGTGCGGATTTTCTACTGACCAACATGAGTGTTGCGAAAGTTATTCACCCCATTACGCGTGAACGTAGATTCGTCTGTCACCATATGCACTTCAAAAAGTCCGGATTATTGTCATGTTGATGCAACAACCACTCACAAAACCGCACTCTTGCTGGAAAATCGTCAGGTTGAAGGGCTTGTACACGTTGGACGTGAAACGGATACAGCCCCTCTTCACGCAGCGTTTGCCACACTTTAGTTTTTGATACTTGCACTTATCTAGCCACGTCTCTAGTGCTTGTTGAGGGATTCACGTCTACGCGATTATCTCTTCACGCGTGACCGTAACCGTCGGTTGCAGGTTGCATACTGACCTGACACACTGACCCCGACCCAGTTCTGTCGTCGGGTTGAGCTAGTGTCCTAGTACCACTGGGGATGTCGCGGCTACAGGACGGTATTCAGATATTTTTGATGTTGCAGAGCCCTTTATCTCGGTTCCCTTAAGACATTGGTGTATATGGTACTAAGAAAATTGCTTATGTTTTCAAGATCTACACGTCGTGTAAAGGAAAACCCCAACTTTGCGGACACCCTGTATTTGTGGCTTGAACAAGCTTTGCATGTTGTCTACTTCAGGGTCACCGACGTGAGCTAACTTTTTGTCTGACATACGACACGATAAAATTATACCCTCTCGAGTATCCATCTCGGCAGAATGACAGCTGATTATCTAGTAATATCTCAAAATTCCCCATACCGGCACAGAGCACATTATTCTGACGGATCCGTCAACGCCAGGTAGACAGAGGCGAGTTTTGTTTTGGCTTTTTGTACGACACGGATTGATGTTGTATTTGCTAACAGCACTTTTATTTAGAAAAGTTCATTAGCATACAAAAACAAAACGCAACAAACAATTTTTACTAGATTTATATCCGATCCATTATTGCCAACGTCGCAGACTAACACAAAAATGTCACTTGCTGATAAGCTGTTCACATCAGTACGCGTTCATCCTGATGACATTCGTAGGGCTACAAATCTTGTCCATGAAGTGAGAAACGCACTGCACGAACTCCGCAACGAGCAATGGAGCGACTTTCTGGCGGGAATGCTTGATTCAAGTATTCCTCTCTGGAGGGTCGCAAAGTCACTCGGAAACGGAAAGCGAGAACAACTCCCACACATCCACGGTCCTGAAGGCATAGTCTTCAGAACGGAGGATAAGGTCGAGGTTTTCGCTGATGCCATGGAAAAACAGTTCTCTCCCAACTATAATCTCGATAATGACCTCGACGAGGAGCAGCACATCGTACGATCCGTCAGGAGATATTTTAGAGCCAACGGCGTTAGCGGAGGCACTGAATCCTCTTCAGATGATTCGTCTGAGGCTCCACATAGCACATTAGCGGAACCCTCGGAGTTTCCACATTGCACACCTGCGGAGTTACGAAGTCATATTAAAGACCTCAAGGTGCGTAAAGC